CGCGAACAAAACACTGTGAGAATTTTTTTTACAAATTTTTGCAACGTTTTCCGCACGCTTGACATTTAAAGCTTCTTCGCCAACATACATTTAATTGGGACAGTTGCAAAATTTTATACTCACTTATAAGACCGCATATAATCAACTCAACAGTACCTATTGTCATTGAACGAATTGCAAAAATGAGTTCCTAGAATCTATGTAATTAATTATAGAAATGACCTGGACCCCGGCTAGTTTTTTATTAATGTTCAGAATAGCTAAATGGAATTATCATTACAAACTATTCTTCACCACAAAATTAAAAAAATAAATAAAATTCCAAAAATTCTACCAAATTTCTTCAAAAACAGTAACACCAGGAATCCGCAAGATTCTTTAAATTTCTGCAAAAAAGACGCCAGGGGTCTCAAGATTCGTTAGAATTTCTTCAAATAAAGGACATGGTGTCATTCCTTTTGAAGAAATTTGATAGAATCGTAAGACTCCTGGTGTCTTTATTTTTGAAGAAATATGAAAGAATATTGGAACCCGTTGACGTTTTTTTCTTTTTTTAAAGAATTCTTGGGACGCGTAAAGAAAAAAATTGACGTTGGAGGAAATTTATAATATCAAAATTAATTTCCCGTCTTTAAGCTAATAAATTTTGTGTTACAATAATATTGTTATTATTAGAGTTACACTGCATAAATTAATAAATTCCATTACCTCTTTTAAACATATTTTAAGTTTCTTGTTGTGAAAAGAAGATTACATAATAAATATTAAAAAAAGGCAATGTATAAGCCCCACCCACCCACCCTATCTCAATTGTGATGATTTTTTTTTATTCGTCGTGAGCCAAGAGGGCGGAGCTTAATTGCAAAATCTTTATTTCTCTACAAAAAATTACCATGTAAAACATATTTTTTTACTTTTGACATAGTAGGGGAGAGAGGGTTACACAGTCCCCTTTTTCTCAAAATGATCTATTTTGAACAACATGATAATACTTAAAACATGTTTTCGTGAAAAATTCATCACAACTGAGATAAGGGCGGGTGGGTGGGTGGGGCTTAAATTTTGCCTTTTTTCTACATATATGTAATGATCTTTTCAATTATAATATAACAAGTGATATGATTATTATCGATAATATTTCGAGTGAAACCGAGCTGCAGATTTAACGAGTGCGAAGCACGAGTTGAATGTGCTGCTTCGGTTTCACGAGCCATATCTTCGATTATTAATCATATCACGAGTTATATTCAACATGAGAATATAATAAATGAACACATTTTTTGATAATAGAATTGATTTCGTCATTTTGAGCTTGCCCTCAACTTTGGCAAGCCATAAAAGACAAAAAAAATTATGAAATTCTAAAATTTGTCAATTTGACAGTTTTTAAATTTAGGTAGCAACAGACCACAATAAGGCAATAAAATTATTATCGCTGTGATAGACATGTAACTAAGGGCATGAACAAATTCTATTGGAAGAAATAGGGTCATGTGATACATGAATTATATTCTCACGCCAAGATATTTAAAACTTTAAAGGTGAATTTTTGTTTTGGGAAACATCGATTTTACAATTAAGCTCCGCCCCTCGGTCTGACAACGAATGAAAAATTCGTCACATTTGAGACTGGGGTGGGTGGGCGGGGCTTAATTTTTTGCTTGTTTTTTCTTGACACATATAATTTTCTTTCAACGAGATTATGTTTCACATGACAGTTTCTTGAAGAGAAATAAGATTTTACAATTAAGCTCCGCCTTTAGGCGAATAAAAACATTTATAACAATTGAGAAAGGGGCGGGTGGGCGGGGTTTGTATTATGCTTTCTTTTTTTAGTATGTGTACATAGGTTTCTTTTCACAACAATAAATTAAAAACATGTTTAAAAGGGTAAATTTATAGAGAACTGGGGCGGATAAAATTGACCATTTTAAACATGTTTTCAGTTTTTTGTTGCAAAGGTAAGACTACGTATATTAAGAAAAAAAAGTAAAATATAGGTATACCCCACCCACCCACCCTATCTCATTTGTAAGGATTTTTCTTTGTTCATTGTGAGCCAAGAGGGGCGGAGCTTAATTGCAAAATCCGTATTTTTCTACAAAAAATTATCATCTGAAACATGTTTATACATAATCGTGTTATTTAAAGAAAAATATATGTATTGAGTAAAAAAGAAAGAAAAAGATTAAGTCTCACTCATAACCGCCCCGCTTTCAGTTGTGATGAATTTTACATTCGGTATCAGAGCGAGGGGAGGAGCTTAATTTCAAAATCGATGTTTCTCTACAAGAATTTACCATTTTAAACATGTTTTAAGTATTTTGTGATGAAAGAAGAACATATATTAAGGAAAAAAAAGGCAAAATATAAGCCCCGCCCACCCACCCTATCTCAAATGTGACGATTTTTTTTTAATTGTTATAAGCCGAGAGCAGAGCTTAATTGCAAAATCCTTATTTTTCTGCAAGAATTTACTGTCTGAAACATGTTTTTAAATATCATGCTGAAAGAAAACTTTGGGAAACATTTATTTTACAATTAAGCTACGCCCCTCAATCTGACAACGAATGAAAAATTTATCACATTTGAGATTCGGGTGGGTGGGCGGGGCTTTTATTTTTTGGCTTCTTTTTCTTGACATATATACTTTTCTTTCAACAACACGTTACTTAAAAACAAGTTTCACATGACAGTTTCTTGTAGAGAAATAAAATTTTACAATTAAGCTCCACAATTCGGCTCACGGCGAATAAAAACAGTTGACACAATTGAGAAAGGGGTGGGTGGGCGGGGCTTGTGTTATGCTTCCTTTTTTTTAGTATGTGTACATAGTTTTCTTTTCACAGCAATAAATTGAATACATGTTTAAAAGGGTAAATTTATAGAGAAGTGTGGAGGACAAAATTTACCATTTTAAACATGTTTTCAGTTTTTTGTTGTGAAGGTAAGACTACGTATATTAAGAAAAAATAAGTAAAATATAAACCCCACCCACCCACCCTGTCGCATTTGTAACGATCTTTCTTTCTTCACCGTGAGCCAAGGGGGGCGGAGCTTAATTGCAAAATCCGTATTTTTCTACAAAAAGTTATCAGCTGAAACATGTTTTTAATTAATCATGTGTTTAAAGAAAACTATATGTTTTAAGTAAAAAAGAAATCCAAAAATTAAGCCTCACTTATACTCGCTCCGATTTCGTTTGTGATCAATTTTTCATTCGTTATCAGAGTGGAGGGAGGAGCTTAATTTCAAAATCGATATTTCTCAACAAAATTTTACCATATTAAACACATTTTCAGTATTTTGTAATGAAAGAAGAACATTTATTAAGGAAAAAAAGCAAAATATAAGCCCCGCCCACCCGCCCCATCTCAAATGTGACTTTTTTTAAATTGTCCTGAGTCGGGGGCTGAACTTAACTACAAAATCCTTATTTTTCTACAAAAAATGATCATCTGAAACATGTTTTTATAATCGGGTTGTTTAAATAAAACTATGCCTATGTATTAAGTAACTTTGTTATTAATAAACCTATCATTATGAAATTTTAAATGTAATTTGTTCAAACCTTTCACTATGTAACGCAAGATATTTTTGTTAGCATTTTTATCATCGCCTTTTTTTTAGCATTTTTGAGAAATTTTTCATCTCGTATGTTTAAAAATCAATATCTCTATTACTGATGTAATAGAGATATTGCAGTTTTCACTACTGTTTTCAACTTGCACAACTCTATAAATTACCCGGATAACACTGGAGATTCTTTTTTTTTCGGAAATAAGATACTCTGAAAAAAGCTTGTGTCGAAGAAGCTAATTTTATTGTACCTCATTTTCAAAAAAAGTAGATAGACAATGTTTTTCCCGCAACCTGTAGAGCTTTGTAAGCTAAAAACAGTGGTGAAAATCGCGTTTCGAAACTTCCATAATTAATTGAGATTTTAAATTTTGAAACGAATACAAATATTACACTGTTTTTTAAAAAAATGGACGCTGTGTTATCTAGCTTGGACATGTTATATTTAAAATTTCATAGCAATAAGTGTGTTAATAACGGATATACTAATTCTGAAAACGTAATGTGTACCCCGTAAGTGAAAAAGGTTAAGCAGCGCCTAACCACCCTATCTCAAATGTAATGTTTTTTTTTAATCTTAGTGAGCTGAGGGGGCGGAGTTTAATTGCAAAATTTTTATTTTTCTACAAGAAATGACCATTGAAACATGTTCTCAACTAATTGTCTTATATATTTATTAAGCCAAAGATTAAGCCTCACCTGTACCGGTCCCGATTTCAGTTGTGATGAATTTTTCATTCGTTATCAGAGTGGAGAGGGAGGAGCATAATCTCAAAATTTTTATTTCAGTATTTTGTTATTAAAAGAACAACGTATATTAATAAAAAAAAAACAAAATATTAATTGTAGATTATTTTAGACGAATTTTAGGACTGTCCACTCTGTAGCTCCACCAGCCACCAAATTTGTACAAAGAGCACGTTTCAGCATGAAAAACGAGCTGAAAATATCAGATCCTAATAATTCTGGTGCAGATGGTTGGCGAAATTATAACATGCCATAAACGGGGTCTGTGTGATTTATTGGTTGCCCAGCTCGACTCGACGAACCCACAGCTGTGTAACTGTGCCTTTAAAAATAGCAAAATTGAATGCAAAACAAAACGGTGGTGACAGGTATTAATTCTGGAATGAGGAATTCTAAAAATGGAATTATTTAAAGTGTTGAAATATTTAAGCATTAAAAACACATCACAATAATAATAAGTAGCGGATTATAATCGCAAATTTCTTTGATTCTGTTTCAACAACGATAGAATTTCTGAACGATTGCAATCATTTTTAAGAAATTCATAACAGTATGACTTGTCGGAAACCTTGTAATCTAAGAAACATTTAAATAAAGAAAAAGCACTTACCTTGCGCAATCTTGTGAGAACCGTTATTATCTTATCTCCCTGAAAGTCGGAAATAAAAGTCGAGTTTCTGGTTTGACTCTTTTATTAAATAATAGTATAAAATCTGCATATACGCTCAATAAGACTAAATAAGGCACTATACAATGGCATAAAAATAACGTATTGACTAGACGTACGAACCCGGCTGCTGTCGCCGCTCGTGTATTTACAAAAATATATTAAAATCTCTTAACCTACTATATACAGGTGGTAGTAATTTTTGTACATGATTCCGTCGTGTCAGTCTTCTCCAAGGCACTGTTTCCCCCAAAACAAGCAAATACTGTCAAAAAGGAACAAACAACAACGCTGACATGCGGAAGCACTAGTACACCTTCTCCGCGTGCACCCCTCCCCCGCACCCGCCTTCCGCGTGCTTCGTTAGCAGCGACATCCTCGAGAAGGTCTTGCTGCACGTGGGGCACGAGTACTTCTTGACGTCCGAATGCGTCTGCAGGTGCGCCCTCAAGTTCGACCTATCGGCGAAGGCGCGGTTGCAGTACGTGCACGAGAACGGCTTCTCCCCGGTGTGGGTCCTGATGTGGCCTTGCAGCAGCCACGGTCTCGAGAAGGCCTTCCCGCAGATAGTACACTTGCAGGGCAGCGTGTGCGTGCGGATGTGCATCTTGAGCGCTCCCAGGGACACGTACACCTTCTCGCAGAACTTGCAGCTGAAGGACTTCTTAGGGCCTTCGCCGGCGGCGCAGTGGAACTGGCGGTGTTTAGACAGACCCGAGAAGGTGGAGTAGCTTTTGCCGCAGTCGGGGCACTGGTGGCGCACGCCGGGCCGGCGCTTCTCGGATAGGTCCTCGGGGGCGGCGGAGTGTGGTGGCGACGCCGTCCAAGTGGGGCTGAGCGACGGGTCGGCGGGGTACACGGGCCGCAAGGCTAGCGGCTGAATGGGCGGCGGGTGGTGGTGCGGCGGCGACAGGGAGCTGTCGCTGTAGGGGGATGCGGGACCCATGTACTCCACGAAGGGGTAGACGGGAGGGTACAAGGGGGCTACGCTGCGGTGCCAGGTTTGGGGTGCGTACTCGGGACTGATTGGGGGTGGGTACACCTTGGGGTAGAACTGGGGCGAGGGGGAGAGGACGGGTGGAGATGGAGGCGGCGACGTCTTCTCCGACGAGTGTGGGGACACAGGCGAGAGGGACGACGGCGATACGGACGTCAAGCGGCCGCTGCGGCTAAGGTCCTCGGGCTTGGTGCTGAGGTTCTGGGGTTCGTCTGCAAAGAACAAAATTTGGTTAGTTTGGAATGACAGAACTCGATTACGAATTATCTTGAGCAAGTGACATAAGCTAACGGAACTGTGTTCTGTGTTAAAAAAAATAACAACGAGCTTGAATATGAAACGATTTTGGGGGCCCTTAGTGTCTTTTTTTAGCAGAAGAATATGAAACGATCTTGGGGGTCTCAAGTGTCTTTTTTTTAGCAGAAGAATATGAAACGATTTTGGGGGCCTTGAGTCTCTTGTTTTCAAAGAAGAATATGAAACGATCTTGGAGGCCCCGAGTGTCTTTTCTTTAGAATAAGAATATGAAACGATCTTGGGACCCCAACTGTTTTTTTTAAGAAGAATTTGAAATGATCTTGATGGCACCTACAATTTTTTTTGTTTTGTTTTTTGAAGAACACGGAATATGACTATATTGAAGAATCTTGAGACTCCCTAGTGCGTTTTTAATTTTTTTTTAATAATTTACTGAAATATGACTCACAACGTCATTTCTTACTGTTGACCAGATGTCATTTTTGGCAATTTTCATCAAAATTTTAGACTTTCGATTAAATTCACTTTAAAATATACCTATTAGAATTACGAAGTTAATTCTTCAAATTTGAAGTTTAATATTTCGAAAAATTTATTTCCGAGATTTTTTTAAGCAGTTTTTTCGAGTTCTTCAGAGACTTTTTAACAACGTATCATCGAGAATTTTTCTCATTTTCTCATCACCCTGTATATAAAACATAACTTGTGGAATATTCATTAAGACTAAATCATACATATTTATAAAAAAATTGTTTAATGCGACAATTGAACAAATTTTAATTATTATTAAATTTAGATCATTTTCGTATTTTCTGTTTCAAAATAAATTAATAGGTACCTATATGGAAAAGTTAAGTCAAAAATAACATAATTCTACATCTATAGAAATTCCGAAGTAATAATTTTTCTATTAATGCACATTACAACATACTTCTGAATTTTTGAAATTCCAGAAAACACAATTTGAAAAATGGTAAAATCTGAAAAACATACCAAATCGAAAAAAGTTAGTTTTTCAATTTTTTCAAATAATGCAAATTTTGCTAAACATGATTTAAAAATAAATGTGGTGATGATTAAGATAAATCAGAAAATATAGCAACACTTAAAATATCTGCACACTGAAGAACAATTTTTCAAAAACCCGAATTATGAGACCTCACGTTTCAGCCTTCCTCAAACTACATAAAAATTTTCAATCTAGCCTATCCAACACACCCAACATCTGGACCCATCCTCGCCCCCCAACCACCGAACACAGTTCCCGTCAATCACAAAACTCACTCCCGCCCTACCTGGTAGTTCCTCCAGGATGTGCACGGGCCTCTTCTTCAGAGGGCAGTGTGAGTAGTTCTTCGCCATGACTGTCACGGGCATATCCAACATCACTGTCACGCACGACACATCAACACTCCAACGTCGCTGTGAGTTCTGGCCCCGTCGAGCTTTCGCCCCCTAATAAAGCCGTCCCCACTCCGGGCTGCACGTGCCGTTCGGCCAATCCGGTCGTCCGTCCGCTCTTCCGCCAATCCCGTGTCGGCCGGCGCGCCTGGAGGGGGAAGCAGGTGTGCTACCGAATGCGCCTGCTATTGTCGCGATTTCTCGCGATTTCTTTTATTTTAACGAAAGCAGCGCGATTTCGTCAGCGACTTCGACGCCGGGTCAGCGCGGGGGCGGGGCGCAACGGTCCGGCGCAGCTGGCGCGTGCCGTACCGTTTTGGCGGGATTCCGACAAGTGTGACACTTGCATTATCGATAGCAGGTTTACTCTAATTCGAGCAGAGTCAATAAACACACCTTGCGACGCTCGAATTTCCGTTCGTATGTCAACCGAGCGCCCTTTATTTGTTTAAACAATAAAGGGGGCTTTGTGCGGCTGTTTGGATTCCGATGGAGGCTGCGCCGTTCCTGTGGGAACGGGGTTCGATTTCTCCCGATTAGTAGAAAATAACGATCACTGTGATTATGCTGAGCAGCGATACGGTTTCTCTGTAATTACGGAGCGTCTGATTTTGGTAAATACGGCCTATCGAGTGTCAGGGGGGTCGATGAACACCTTTAGCGACAGATGCGATTTTCGAACAATTATCGCCTATTTTCTGGTTACATCTGGTCGCCAGAAAGCGCGTACCTGAATTTTTTCGGTTTGGGGGATTCTGGGACGTGACGGAAGAATGGTGGTTATCAGTCGCGTTGATAATTTCGACAAGTTATACTGTGTTGGGACAAGTGCTGGGAACGGGAATTCCGGGAGTTGTAAAGTGCGACTACGCACTGTGAATAAATTACGGAAGTACACAGCTGGTCAAGAGGGTTGAAAGTTCCCACAGATTGTTGATATTTTTATAAACTGGGAAGAAATCTGCTGGTTTTTGGGGGTTTTAGGGTGAATTTGGGTTCTCACCGTGCGATTGACTTTTCTTTATTGTTGCGTGGATGAATGGTCGCTGGAAGTCTAATTATACTTGCGCGTAATTTACAATTATAATGTAACTGGTGTAATTAGTAACGCGCCGGATTAATACCCATATTTATGTGGAATTAACGGAATAAATACTCGGAATTGATTAGAACGCGATTGGGAAAGTACAAACTAAAGAATGAAATGGATACGGTTAATTGAATTTTTTTATAATTCGTGATTAATAAATAACGAAAAGGTATCGATGACTGAAATTAACAAAATTATTAGTTATCATTACAAAGAAAATTATGAATTGTTGCGTCAAAATTAAATTCCAAACATTTCGGTTGATTTTATTTATGCAAGAAGTTAACAAAGTTGCGACATTTAGATGAAACTTTTTAGTTAGTTATTGCACGAAACTTGTGCAATTTCTTTAAAATAACAATGTTGTTAGAGGCCAACAATTGATGAAAGTTATAAGTCATAAATAGAAAAAACATTCTTAAAATCAAGAAATTAAATGTTAACGTTTTCGCCAAGTTATCTACTTATCATTTTGAATAATATTTGTTTCAAAATTTGCATAAATTTTACAAAGAATATGTTTAAAAGGTTAACGAATGAGTAACTTAAAGTGGCGAATTAATTAATTTTATAATTTTTAAAAATTGTCTAGGAAATTTCAGTTCTCTACATTAAGTAATATTTGATGCTAGAGGTGGCAACACACCCTGTAGATGATTAATCAACGGTCATTTAACCAACAAAACACTATTAATCGAGTTTCACCTTCAAGCCGAGGACAGATTTATTTAAATTTAATGATGATTCTTGCATCGTTTATGTCCACTTTATAGCCACTGCATTCCTGGAACTAAGTATTTCAAGTTACAGGACGCAGTTTCATTCGGTAAAAATAAATAAATAAAAACGGCCTATTTTCAAGAAAAAAGTATAAATGTGGTTGTGATTATTTAGGAGTCTTAGACACGAACAAGAGCCAGAAACCTGATACCGCGGAAAAGCCGATCCAAAACTGGCCACAAATTAAAAAATAATTGACAAGTAAACCCAAAAATTACAAGCGAAGTTTTTTTAAGGCGTAGAAGTCCCCGACCCAGCATCCGCTCGGCACCCATAAAAATTATTACATTATTTATTCGACGTTACCAGTCCCCCCCTATTCTTTGAATCGAAATTTCGTATGCAAAAACCAGTTCCCGCATAATGGCAGCAACATTAGTCCCTTTTCTAACCTGCTCCGGCCAAACGTGATGGACCATTTGAGATGAGCATGCACCGGAACAGACATCCGGTTATGACGCACACCTCTACTTACCACTCCTTAAGATGGCGGATTAAAATTATTATAGGCAAAACACGTGCATTACGCGGTTATTGTGCTACTTGTTATGCTCGAAGGGCGCATTCAAAGCGACATTTACAAGTCGGTATAGCGGTCGTTTGGAAGGCGATGGCGTCGTAAATTAGGTAGAGTGACCGAGGCGTCGAGACGCGGTAGACGGTGTAATGAATTGAGAACGAATGGAAAGGGGGCGACGCTGCAATTCTGCATAGAGATTAATTCGAGGAAGTTCGATCCCATCGGCTTTCAACGCCTCGTTATCCATAAACAATCGACTGCGGATGAGTCACGGTAATTAATACTAATAAATACCTGAAAACACCTCCCGGGCGGAATGGGGGCAGGAACAGATGGCTGCGCGGCGGCGATTAGCGGGGGCGGTGGAGGGGGGGTTTGAGGTAATGAGAAAAATTTTACGAGTGTGCCGGACGAGGTTAAGGAGTGTGTGTTTGGAAACCAATGGTGAAGAATTTTTTTTTTAATTCAAACATCAGGGCCTCTTCGATTGTTTCAAATTTGTTCAAAAATGAAATACCAACTCCAAGTTTATTTTTCAAACTCTCTTTCAAAAATAAACACCCGACATGTTTTCACCGACATTCTTGTTTTCAAAAATCAAACACGGGGCTCTGCGATTTTATCTTTTTTTTAACCAACCATTTATTCGGAATTATTTAATATTTTTTTACATTTTTTCAAAAATCAAACACTAGAAGCTCCCTGAGAAGCTTTCTTTTTTAACAAAACATTAGTTGCTCCCAAGATTGCACAAGTTTTTTTTTTATCAAACATCAGGGATCCTCGAAATTCTTTCAAATTTTTTCAAAAATCATGCAGAAGGTACCCCAGATATTCTTTCAGCAATTTTTCAAAAATCAAATATCAGAAATACCGGATATTTTTTCGATTTCTTTTCAAAAATTAAAATGCCGAGGTGATTCCTTAAGTTTTACTTTAAATTAAACATCAGGGGCCCTCGAGATTCTTTTAAAATTAAAAAAAAAATCATACACCAGGGCTCCCGATGTTCTTTCAACATTTTTTAAAAAATCAAATATCAGGGGACCCCGACATTCTTTCAATTTCTTGTCAAACATCAAATATTGGGAAACTCTGAGGAAGTTTACTTCATTTTTATTAAAACATCAGGTGGAAAATTCCTTAAGTTTGTATTTAAATCAAACACCAGAGACCCTCGAGATTCTTTCAAAATCTTTTAAAAATCAAAAACCAGGGACCCCCGACATTCTTTCAACATTTTTTAAAAAATCAAACATCAGGAGCCCCCGACATTTCTTCAGTTCCTTATCAAAAACAACAATAGAAGCCTCTGAGGTTTCAATTTTTTTTAACAAAATATCACTTGCCCTTTAGATTCCATAAATTTTACTTTAAATCAAACATTCTTTTAACATTTTTTCAAAAATCAAACATCAGGAGTCCCCGGCATTCATTCACTCTCTTATCAAAAAACAATATAAGCCTCTGATAAGTTTTCAATTTATTTTTTTTAACAAAACATCAGTTGCCCTTTAGATTCCATAAGTTTTTCTTTAAATCAAACATCAGGGACCTTCAATATTTTCTCAAAATCTTGAAAAAGTCATCCACTACAAGCTCCCGACATTCTTTCAATTTATTATTAAAAATCAAACATTATAGGTCCCTGAGAAGGTTTTAATTTTTTTTTTTTAACAAAACATTAGGTGCCCTGGATATTCTTTAAGTTTTTCTTTAAATCAAACATCAGGGACCGTCGAGATCCTTTCAGCATCTTCCAAAAATAATACAGAAGGACCCTCAAACATTCTATCAACATTTTTTCAAAAATCAAACAGTAGAGACCCCTGAGAAGCTTTCAATTAAAAAAAAAAAATCACGTGCCCCCGAGATTCCTTAAGTTTCATAAAAAAAATAAATACATCAGGGGCCCTAAAGATACTATATATAAGAAGCCGTTGGGAAGGTTTCCGTTTTTTTTTAACATCAGATGCCGCTGAGACTCCTTTTTTTTAAATCAAACACCAGACGCTCTCAACATTCTTTCGATTCCTTTCTAAGAATCAACACAGAGACCCCTGAGATTAATAAAATTCTTTATCAAAATTCAAACATCAAAGGTCCTCAAGATTCTTAAAATCTCTTTTCAAATGTCACACACGAGGAACCTTCGATATTCTTACAATTCTTGTTCAAAAATCAAACATCAGAGGCCCTAGAGATTCTTTCAATTTCTTAAGAAAAACAAACATTAAAAGCGCCTAGGAAGGTTTCCATTTTCTTTAAATCAGACACCAGGACCTTCGTTTTCAAAAATCAAACACAGGGATCCCTGACAATCTTAAAATTCTTTGTCAAAAATCAAACATCAAAGGTCCCCAACATTCTCAAAATTCTTTTTCAAAAATCAAACACCAGGAACTCTCGACATTCTTTCCAATCATTTTCAAGCATCAAACACCAGGAACCCTCGATATTCTTACTATTATTGTTCAAAAATCAAACACCACGAGCCCTAGACATTTTTTCATTTTTTTTTCAAAAATCAAACATTAAACGCCCCAGACATTCTTCCAAATTCTTTAAAAAAACAAAAATTAGAATTCCCTGGGAAGGTTTCCATTTTTTTTTAAATCAGGTTCTTTAATTCAAACACAGGGACCTCAGAGAGTC